GTGTATTTTTAATTGGTTTGTCAATTGTCATACATATTACTTAAGTTTCAACTCTTTCCTTTTTTGTTGTTTTACGTATATTTTTATTCTTTTGATTCAAATTATTTATAGCATAAAGTTTATATATATATTTATAACCGCTGTCAAAAAAAGAAAGAAAACAAGTAACCAACTAACAATAAACATCTAAATTTTGGGTTACTAAAAGAGTGTAGGGATGAAAAAAACACAAGTTCACAAAACAAATTACAAAACTATTGGCTCTTCTTACTACTACTTGAGGAAGATTTTGGAGCTATCCACAATTCCGCATAATCGAGATATAGGTTTTCAATGATGATGATGCGGTACAAAACATAGCAATTTAGATACATGACAAATGAAATAACATCAAATTTCATACTAAAATAAACATTTTTCTTGCAGAGGAATAATTCAACGTCGGGCACAAGTATTCACTAGATGATGATTTATCAGAAACAAATGAGAAGTTTTTAAAAAAAACTTAAAGTTAAAAATGCGATTCATGAACCATACAATTTTGAAATATATGATCAATTTTATGAAAGAAACCGTAAGTTCTATCAATTTTTGGCTTAAGCATAAAGGTACTTTATACAAAAAATAGTGATGGCTAAAGAGTCGAGACTTCCATGAAATAATCCACAAACCAACAAACCATATATAAGAAATGAATTTCTTGACTTCTTCATAACAAATCCAAGCACAATTGAAAGAAAGAAAAAACCAACGAGATGAGTAGCAAAACTCTTCATTACAATACAAATAATATACATATAACCATTTTAGTGAATTTCAATAATCCTCACACTAGTCTGTCCCCGGCATTGGAACCATCATATGCGGAGCCTGCGTTATACCGATTCGTTAGTAAAATTAGTTCAGAGATCTTTTTCAGGTAGACATAATACAATAAACAGAGGTTTTTTTTCAATTCTGTATAGCCCTAATCATAGTTCATCAAAATATCGTTATCGGTATGCATAACACTCTACGGGTTGAGGGGGGGATACACAAAGGATGATCATCAATTTCTACATTTAAGTCACTGGCCAATTTGTAATCCCTGATCTGTAACGGTTTGAGATTCTACTTAAGCTATGAATACAGAAGAAAATGAGACAGGGATTTATGAGTAATAGCGGAAAAACGAAAGAAGAGAAGGCTGTGTATCGCCATGAGTGTGAAAGACAAGAAAGGAAACGTTACTTGAGAGTTCCCATAAGGACCTTGTGAGAAAGAGCCTTGGTGAGCTAGCTGAGAGAACTGCTAGAAGGTAAACAAACTCCGTAATGTCAGACTATATCAGGTCTAGCTAAAGCGACGAGAGGAAACGCGATGACAAAAACTTTAATGCAAAGACATAAATGTCAAAGACATGAGATTTTTGAGACATCTACCTGGCCATTTTGGCTTGATTGGGCATCTTTCTTTGCATTCACATCCCCACCTTTTGCTGATCCCTTTGTATCACCCTATCGATAAGCAAAGAGTCAATATAGTTTGATACGATAGTTGCCTCAAAGACAAGGATACAATAGACGATTCTCGAAAATCATCAAGATCTTTACAAGTATTAGGAATGAACAACAAATCAAAGAGAAAAAACCACTGACCTCCATCTGCGATATTCCAGTTCACATGGTAGAAAAGAAAAGGAGAAACAGAGTAAGTGAGTAAAATTCAAAAACTCTATTCATGTAAACATAATGAACATCGTAATCAAAATGTTGTTCCTCGATCTGAAAAAAAAAAAAAATGGTGAAGGCAGAACATACCTCTCTATATCTCGTAAGGTAAATCTTCAAAGGTTCGATGTAGTCTTCAAATCCTAAAGTAGCCATTGCCCATAACAAATCATCTCCATTGATAGTCTTCCTTTTCTCCCTTTGACACTTATCACTCGCTCTGCCCATCAAAACCACAAAAAATACCCATGGCATCATACAAAACTTGATCCAACAATAACAAATTCCTAATCTTAAACTACACAAATCTGCACCATAGAACCCAAACAAAGACCTTAACTTT